GGTTCACCCGAACACACCAACGAACTCCCGACGGTCGCTATGTCGTTTGCTTGCCTGTGCGCTCGACCCTGCCGGACCTATCGGAGACTCGTACCGCGGCGATCCATTCTCTTCTCCGCACCGAAAGGCGTTTCCTGAGAGACACTGAGTTCAGAGAACTCTACACGGACTTCATGAGCACATATGAGGACTTAAATCATATGTCACGAATCACGACATCGTCTCACCTGCCAGCAAGAGTCTGCTACCTCCCGCATCACGGAGTGTTCCGAGCCGCCAGCACCTCGACGCGCCTCCGAGTAGTCTTCAATGGATCTTGGACCGTCTCCTCGGGCACATCGCTCAATGAACACCTCCATGTCGGACCTAACTTGCTGCCAGCCTTAGCCGACAGAATTCTTCGTTAGCGATGGCATACTTATGCGATGGCAGCCGATATTGAGAAAATGTATCGGCAGATACTTGTTCATGAGGAAGATTGGGACCTGCAAAGGATCGTATGAAGAAAGGATCCGGACGGCGAAATACTGGACTTACGGCTCAACACCGTTACCTATGGACAAGCTTGCGCACCATTCCTCGCTCTTAGTTCCCTTCGTCAGCTTGCGCGCGATGAGCAGGTCCGCTTCCCGGAGGGTGTTTCTGTGGTGCTCGAGGACTCCTACATGGACGAATTCTACTTCGGGGCCGACATGAAAGCGGAAGCCCTAAAAAAGCAGAAACAGTTAGGAGGTCTTTGCAAGGCGGGCGACTTCCCCCTGAAGAAGTGGACAGCCAACTCTACCGAACTACTCAATAACATACCCGAGGATGATCGCTTGCCACGCCAGTCTCGCGCCTGTACAGACGAGCGGCTCACTCATTCTGCGCTGGGACTTCTTTGGGATCCGCTGGGGGACTGCTTCTCTTTTGCCGTCAAACCACCGGCGGAGGGTGCCGTGACGAAGCTCTCAATTCTATCCCAGACTGCCCAGCTCTTTGATCCGCTCGGCTGGCTCACTCCAACGATCGTTCTAGCGAAGATCTTCATCCAGTCTGGGATGAACCTTTACCGGAAAACGAAGCTGCTCGATGGATTAAATTCAAGGCGGAGCTGCCGGTGCTCTCAAACATAAGGGTCCCAAGAGCGCTAGCCAAGGGAACAACAAATTACCTGAGGACGGTGCACAGCTTCGCTGATGCGTCAGAGCGCGCGTACGCTGCAGTGCTCTATCTGAGAGCTGAAGGCGAGGACGGCGAGATCAAGGTGATCTCTGCGAAAAGTAAAGTTGCTCCTCTTAAGCAGGTGACCTTGGCGAGATTGGAACTCAGCGCGGCGGAGCTCTTGGCGCGACTCGCGAGACACTCGGTGGACGTTCTACGCCTGCAGGATCTACCGCTGCACCTATGGACAGATTCAAAGGTAACTCTCGGTTGGATTCAAGGGCATCCATCGCGGTGGAAGACTTACGTGGCCAATCGAGTCGCCAAAATTCAGCGCTTAGTGCCAAAAGCTCAATGGAAACACCTCCCTGGACGTTGCAACCCTGCGGACTGTTCATCTAGAGGTCTGTTTCCCAGTGAGCTAGTCAATCACGAACTATGGTGGCACGGTCCGAGCCTCTTGCATGAAGGAGCAAACTTGGCAGCAGCGGAACAGATCGAAGCGCCCGACGAGTGCCAAACAGAGCAGCGAGCGCACACGTTGACCACATCCACTGGCGAACCCCCCGAGAAACATCCTCTGCTCTCACAGTACTCGACACTCCTGCGAGTCACTGCCTGGTGTCGACAATGGTTACCTCGGGAGCACCAGTTGAATGGAACCGGCCGCCGAGATCCAGGAGAGGCGTACCGTCGCCCCTTATCCGCCACGGAGATCGACGACGCAGAAAAATTGTGGATTCGCCATGTTCAAGCTATTCACTACAAAAGGGAACTATCTTTAATTGCCGTAGATTCCAAGGTTGACTGCAAGGGATCACTTACCAATCTCTCCCCGCTGCTGGACAACAAAGGAATGCTGAGAGTGGGAGGCCGCCTACGACATGCGACCCTCTCCTTCGACGAGAAGCACCCAATTATTTTGCCGTCTCAATCAGCCCTCACCAAGTTAATCATTGAAGCCTGTCACAGGAGAGCACTGCACGGAGGGGCGCAACTGACACTAGGTATCGTACGCCAGCGTTACTGGATACCACGTGGACGCAACCTGACGAAACAATGCATCCGTCGCTGTATTACTTGTGTGCGATGGCGGGCGGCATTGGCCGAACAGAAGATAGCCGATCTGCCTCGACCAAGAGTAACTCCAGCGAGGCCGTTCCAATACACAGGCGTTGATTATGCAGGACCGATACTTCTGAGGACAGCGCCCGGACGGGGCCACAAGGCGACCAAGGGCTTTTTGGTGGTCTTCGTCTGCCTAAGCACGAGGGCGGTACACCTCGATGTGGCCTCTGATTACTCCTCACAAGCTTTC